CTAGAGATGTTGGCTAGAGGTCTGGGTGTGATTCGGCTGCAGGAAATGGGCAGGCATCTGCTGTGGATAATCAGAAGTGTGGTTTCATCACAAGTGTGGCGGGGGCGGGGGGGAGGCAGGTGTATGAAGGGCAGGGGCTCCACTGGCACGCTGGGCAGAGAAGCAGATATGCAAACCAAAGTGGGAGTGTAAGTGGGAGAATCTCAGCAAGTTAGACTGGAGCAGAAGGTCAGAATGGGGCCAAGAAGCAGAGGCAGATAAGGTGTGGTTTTTAGGTGGAGAAATTGCCACAGAAGCAGAGGAGGTGGATGAGGTGGCGAAGAGAATACTTTTCCAAAGGAACACATTAAACTGGGATATGTTGGACAAATAGATATGGAGTGTTTACCTTGTGACTGTTGCTGTACAACCGATGACAAATAAGTAGGATCTCTGCTCTCAGGTACATAAACTATGAACTCAACTCTAACGTATTAACAGACACAATACAGTACAGTGTGATACATGCTGCATGGAGGAAGTGCAGGGAAGTGTGTGGGGAACACATAACCACCCCTAAAATGAGATGGAAAGGACAAGTTGTAGTTAGCAAGGTGAGTCAGGAGGAACAACCTTGCTCGAGCTCTAGAATGGCTGGATGAACATACAAAAGATCAAAGCAGGCAGCTCACGCAGAGATTGTAAATACTCTGCTATCGTTGGGCATTCTACCTGAAGCAGTTCAGACTTTTTCCTGGAAATAACGAGTCACTGGAATATATGAATCAAGGAGCAACACGATCAGATGTGTGTTTTAGAAATATCACTACCACAAAGTGTGGACACTAGGTGGGAGGAAAGGCAGGCCCAGGGACCCACTGGTGTAACTCAGTGGGAGATGATAGTGGTCGAACTGAGAGCAGAGAGAAACAAATGTATTCTTGAGACATCTGAGAGTTAGAATGGACGAAGCATGGTGATTGATCAGATGTGTGATGTGATCAAACAATCCAGGATGGCCTGTTTCTGGCTCAGGCAACTGGGCAGATGGTTTGCTTTAGAGGCAGCTCTGAAAAGACAGGAGGTCATGTCAGTTTAAGGAGACTTCTGGTTGTCAAGGAGCCAAAGAGCTAACCTCCTCAAGTCCAAAGGTCCATTGGTTCCCATATCCTTCTTTCAGGGCAGGCAGGTCTCCTTTGCCAGCTTATCAGTATCTGATATCTGATGAGGGTCCTTGCATACTCCGGTGATTATTGTTTGTGCATCCACTCAATGAAGCGATATTTATGAAAGATCATTGTGTATCCACAGTATCTTGGTATTCCATTGACCCTGGTGTCCAACGATGAGGTGGTTTAGTTCTTCTATTTTTTTCTATGTAATTTTCAGCTTTATCAAAGTTTAGTTGACAAATAATATTCTAAGAAATTTAATACACAAACCTTGGCAATTTGTGTGTACATTGTAAAATGATTCTTCCCATCTCGTTTGCTTATCCATCACCTCACATATTTACCTTTTTTTCTTATGATGAGAGCATTTAAATTCTACTCTTTTAACAAATTTCACTTACACAATACAATGTTACCAATGAGAGTCACTGTGCTGTGCTGTGCATTAGACCTGCAGACACTATTCATCTTACAACTGGAAGTTTGCACCCTTTTACCAACCTCTCCCTACTTTCTCTACCTCCACCCTGGAAGCCACTTTTCTATTCTTTTTCGAGGAGTTCTACTTTTTAGATTCTACACCAAGTGATATCATGCAGAATTTGTCTCTCTCTTCAGCTTATTTCACTTAGCAAAGAGCTCTCCGGATTTACCATATGTGGGTGTGCGCAAATAAAATATTTACCCAGGGGCACCTGGGCAGCACAGTCAGCTAAGTGTCTGACTCTTGGTTTCAGCTCAGGTTGTGACTTCAGGGTCTCGGGATGCAGCTCCACGTAGGGCTCTGCACTCAGCTCAGAAGTCTGCTGGAGATTCTCTCTCCCACTCTCTCTGCCCTTCCCCCCTGCACATTCTCTCTCTCTCTCTCTCTCTCTCTCTCTCTCTCTCTCTCTCTCTCTTTCAGATAAATAAATAAATCTGAAAAAAAAACATTATTCATCCATCAATAAGACACATTGTTTCCATCTGTTGGCTATTATAAATAATGATTCAGTGAACATGGGAATACAGAAGTTCTTTGAAAAAGTGCTTTTCAAAGTCAAATTTACAACTGTAGGATTTCATCAGGCTTTCCCACTCATGCCACCCCACTTTATCCTTTAGAGAAAGTATTTCTTCGCACCTCATTCCCAAGGTGGCATAATTTTGACTTTTTAGTTTTTTCTTCATGGACTTAGTCTTTGAGAGAATTTAGCCTTGGATAGAGGTTCAACACCTTATAGAAAACCCTGAATAAGTTATGGCCAGAGTTCTGGAAAAGGTTTTCTAGGCTCCACACTTTTGCGAGCAACTCTAAGCCTTCCCATGACCGAAGTGGTGGTGTTAGAGTGTCAGTAACAGATGTGATTGCTCGAAGTCTTCCTTGAAATACTTAACATTTGATGCCTTTTCATTTCACATTTTGTGTGTGGCTTTCCCAAGTTGGGGTGTGAAATTCAAACACCAGAGGAACTGGCAGGGTTTGTAGGTCGAATAAAATAATGGGAACCTATGTAGTTCAGATTAAGAAAATAAATGCATGGATGTGAGAATCTAGCCTCACACATCGAGAAGAGATCATCTTACAAATCTGGCTCCTGGGGGCCAAGGGCTGCCTAAACCCCTAGGCCAAGAGGGATGGGGAAAAACATTGTCTAATTAATCAGTAAAGCTCTATTTTTTGCCAAAGAAAGATATTAGAATATCTGACTTACTTCTCAAAGATACTGCAAAGATTAATGAAATGGTTTTGAATGACCATTCTACTGCAAATAAATGTTGCTTTTTAAGGATGTAGTATTATTGTTAATAACACTAAGATACAAGATCTTGAATACTTAGATTGTTGGATTAAATGGTGATGCCAGAGTGATCATGGCTCAGGATTAGATTTCCATTCCAGACATGTTTTTAGTTTTGCACAGAGAGCATGTCTTGTTCTGATGGCAGACTATCTGTAGCCTTGATCAGCCACCTATCACGTGTTCAGGCTGATGTCTCAGTTTGCTAATGGATAAATAATACAGCTTTCTCCACCCACTCATGTGGGTGGATAGGTTGCCTTTGCATGTAAAGCATATTATTATAGGCTGCAAGTCTTGGGAGACTGATCAAGCCTTTAACAACATCTGGTGCTAATTCCTTCATTTACAGTTGAGGAAATTAAGCCAGAGAGAGTAAGTGTTTTGCCCCAAATCACCTAGTGGTGCCAGCTCAAGGGCTAAAATCTGTATTTATTGCTAAATCCAATGTTTTCACTATGACATTGTGCTATATCCCCTCTGGTCTAGGATTCCCTTATAAAACTTTTGGGGGCTTGGATTGAGAACAAATCCTCAGTGAGCCACCAGTGCCCAATAAAGTATAATACAATCTTTCGTACCTCCTGGTGTTCTATTAGAGATTTTTGGTTATTTGTTGCAATTCCTGAGAGTACCAGACTCCTCTAGTTGGACAGCCAAAAGGCAACAAGTCAATGTGCCATGTCTGCAGTCAGGCAGGCAGTGCAGGAACCTGCAGGGCAACTTTCAAGAGCGTTCTAGAGACCATATCAAGCCAGCTGGTCTGATTACAATTAATGATAATCAGTGCCTATCCTAATTAGGCTTATAGGATTTCTGCCCTGGTAGAGATCCCACTTGCTGCATTCCTAGATTAAGTCCATAAGTCATGTTCAATTATTCAGCCATGTCCATTTGAGAACCTGCTACATGCAGAGCTTTATGCAAATCTCTTTGAAATGTAAGCAAAAGATTGGTGGCAACTTGTAATCTTTCCAGATATAAGGAGAGATTCCCCAGGCTGGACTTCTCAGAGGCAGCCAGTGAGGAGACCTTTTTTTTTTTTTTAAAGATTTTATTTATTTATTCATGAGAGACACACACAGAGAGAGAGAGAGAAAGAGAGAGGCAGAGACACAGGCAGAGGGAGAAGCAGGCTCCACACAGGGAGCCTGACGTGGGACTCGATCCCGGGTCCCCAGGATCATGCCCCGAGCCGAAGGCAGCACTAAACCGCCAAGCCACCTGGGCTGCCCATGAGGAGACCTTTTTATGAATGTCAAGGTCTCATGGCATGTGACTTTCTCTCATGGTTTCCAAAGGGGAAATGGAAAACTAACCTCCATGGTCCTCCTTGGCTCTGGTATTTTTCTTTCAAATAATATTTATTATATACCTTTTTCAGACTATAAGAGTAAAGCATGTTTATTGTAGGAAATGCAGAAAATTACAAAGAAAATAAAAAGCACTCATAATTCCAATACCATTCATAGTTACTTTCATTTTCTTCTTTTTTTTTTTAAGATTTTATTTATTTGTTTGAGAGAGAGAGAGCAGGGGGAAAGGCAGAAGGAGAGAGGGAGAAGATGACTCCCCATTGAGCAGGGAGCCCAACACGGGGCTCGATCCCAGGACCTTGGGATCATGGCCTGAGCCAAAGGCAGATGCTTAACTGACTGAGCCACCCAGATGCCCCCACACCGTTTTCTAGTCCAAAATTTTCCAAACTGTGTTTTAGGCATATATAGAAGCATATACCTATTCATTTTCATGAACCTAAGATTCTACTGTATCCTACTCTGAAATTCTAGAAGTCTATGAAACATGCAGAACTCAGCACAGTTCTTTGCTCAAAGCCTGGCATGTGGTAGTTTTGTTAACTGAATGGGGAGGGAAACCATGATGCATGGACTTGACCAGCCTCCTTGGAAGATCTCACACTCAGGGCATGCCCAAATCTTGACAACAATCTTTGCAAACCTAAGAAACATAATGAAATGATTACTTTCCTCCCAGAAAGCTTCTCCTTCCCAGAAGAGCATCAATAATAATTCATCTCCCCCTTTTTTGTGCTCATTATTTATTTCAGGAGATTCTGTTTGATCTGAGAGCTGCATGTGCAAGAGAGCTGCTGGAAGCATGGACCTCAGTGAAAAATGGCCCTTGGAAGAAGGAACCTGGTTGTCCCATGCTGGAATTCATCACTTTGCCAACACCAGAGGAGGTATGGCTGCTTTGATGTCCTTGATATACAGGGTACTCTTTAACTCCTGCGCTCACTGTGTCAACCTAGCTATACTTAGGACGTGCCCGGTGCTATTTGTCTGTTCAAAAGCAGCCAGGTGGAGAGGGGAGGAAGGCACTTTGGAGTCAGGCAGATCTGGGTTCAGATCCTGGATTTCTTTCTTATAAGCTACATGGCCTGAGAAAGTTTGTCATTTTCTCAGCTCTAACGTGAGATAGGAATGCCTATTTCAAAAAAAAAAAAAAAAAAAAAGGAATGCCTACTTCATAGTCCTCCGATAAGGACCGTGAGTAATGCAAGCTGTGATTTACTGGGCCCTTTCCCTATCCAGGTAGGAAATTAGTCATATACCTCCCAGCACCTAACATGTCTAAGGCACTGTATTCCTGCTTATCTTTTTTTTTTTTAAGATTTATTTATTTATTTAGAGAGAAGTGTATATGTGTGTATGTGTGTGCGCACGCACACATGAATGAGGGGAGGAGCAAAGAGAGAGGGAGAGAGAGAATCTCAAGCAGACTCCATGCTGAGTGTGGAGCCATATACGGGGCTCAAATTCAGGCCCCTGAGATCATGACCTGAGCTGAAATCGTGAATGGGATGCTTCTAGCTGAGCCACCCCAGCAATCCTGTGTTCCTGCTTGTCTCCTCTCCTTTCAACAGCCCTGCAAAAACTGGCATTGAGATTAAAGCTGGTATAAACAGAGTAGGTCAGCTCACCTTCCCTTCTTTTTCCCTGCCTGGCATCTGATTAACAGAGCTCAGCATTAAGTGATAGTGATGTTGTAATTTTCCTGGTGTGGAATACACAAATGTAAGAACCATCACCCTCATACAGACCTGTGGGCCTCTTTCTGGTCTAGGTGTCCACGGCCACCACCATCCCCCAAATCTAATGGAGATTTACTTTGGCGATAGGAGCCACTCTGTGGCTAGGGCGACAAAGGCCACTGAGGTTAATGCGTTCACATGTGGTTTTTAGTAAGGTTATGCCTCCCCATTGTTGTTCATTCCTTCATTTCTTTGTTCATTCGACCAATATTGAACATCTCACCACATCCCAAGCCCTTGGGAGCATAAGAGAACAAGATAGGCATAGAGCTCACTAGGCCACAATCTGCTGTGCCCCATCTCTAAAGTGGGGGTAACTTACGCAGCACTGCACCAGAGTACTCTTCCAGCCAAAGCTATGGCACACAATGGGAGACTGCCCACGGAGAAGGGCAATATTTTGAGAACACTTGGATGAGTTCAGCCAAAAGCCAACAGTTGTTTTCTCCTGTCTCTGGCCACCCTGCCTCCCCTAGCCACTTTTTAAAAGTCCTTATGCCAGTAACTCCTCACAGCCCATCGTATACAGTCGAATCTCCTTAGCACCTTAGCTCAATACACAACCCTTCCTCATCAGACCTCTGCCTGCCTCTCTAGACTTATCTCCTGCTATTCGTGACTAAAAACAAACCCCCTCCACTGCCGTACTGACCAGCCTCCGGATCCTTGGATACATCCTGCTCTCGCACACTGAGAGCCTCTGCATAGACAGTTCCTACTATTTGCCTTCTGCTCAACAGGTCCCCACTCATCTCTGAACTTCAGCTGATGTCATCTATTCTGAGGCCTCTTCCTGCCGCCACCCACCCATCTCACCCTTGGTCCAAACGAGGGGCCCAACCTCCGCGTTGCATAGATTCCTGTGTCACAGCACCTACTACACTGTGTTGTGACTGTCCCTAACCTGGACAGCCTGTGGGCTTCCGAGGCAGTCTTGTTTTAGTCACCACTGCATCCCTTTCGAAAGCAGCCTACCAAATAGTTGATGCATGTATACCAGCTGGCTGTCTGGGTGGCTCCATGGGTGAAGCATGGGTAGGACCGCGCCCTATGGGTATGTCTGAGAGCCATTGTGGACTATGGCAACCCAACTGGACTGTGTACAAATGCCCCTGGCGCCACTGCGTCACTTCACGGGACTTTCAGCACACCCATAGCATTTCCTTCCCTGCTCCAGGCTTATTTGCCAAAATCTGCAAGCAGAGGAGAGGAAGGAAGTAGGTGTGCTTGGTCTGATGGTGCTTTTGTAACCTAGGCCATAGAATCACCCATCATAGAATTTTAGAAACCTTCGAGATCATTGTGACAGACAGATGTCTAAAAACTGTGTGTTGTGACCAACTCCACAAACTACCACATCCCTCCATGAGTTCACTCGGTTTTGTATCTACAGTCTTTGGGGCATGGCTTGCTAGTAGTAAGGGGAACCAGACCTGTGTCTTAGACCTGCCTGATGGGGAGTCACTGTTCTCAGGTAAGTGATAAGCTTCGGGGGCTGATGAAGGAGCTTAGCTCTAGTGGGCAACATATACCATGATATGTGGTCTTGGTCCAGACAATCAGATCAGTATGTGATAACGGAGGTGGAGACACAGTATGGTAGTGCTGTGGTATGTGGGTGAAGCCCGGTGATGAAGAATCTAACTTGCTGAAATTTGGAAATCCTTATAGGCAGCTGCTTTTAGAGCCCTGGGCTGGGGTTTAGGTAAAGGGCTTGGGTCCCAAGAGGAAACTGAACTCAGAAATAAAGTGGAAACCCTGCTGTGCCAAAGCTAAGTCAGAATTGGAGTAATCACCAAAACAAAAACCAAACCAAATCAAAACACAAAACCTGTCATTCATTAGGTTTATACGTTGCATCAGACATTATGCCAAGCCTTTTTTGTATAGATATAGATGATCTCGATTCATTCGCACAGCCTTATTCTCATTTTATGAATGAAGAAACAGAGCCTGAAGACTGACAAGAGGCTCGCACAAAGTCATTCAGCTGGTAAATGGCAGAGTGGTATTTGAACTTAGATCTGCCTGAACCCAAGCCACTGTAGACTGTTGCCCCTCGCTTTACCCTCCAACATTCCCTACCCTGCCTCCTTGGTTTAAGGCACCAGTGGGCCAGTTACAGATTTTTATTGCTGGTTATTTCATTGTCATGATGGAAAAGAGCACTGGCTCTGAGCGGGGCCAGAAAACCAGCAGCGCTGTTGCCGTGTGTGGTTTATCATCCAAGACCCTCCTATGGCCACTTCAGCTAATGCATTGCCAAGGCAATGATCCACCTGCTTCCAAGCATCTTTCCTCTATGCCCTAGACCCTGTCCTACCTCTCCCACCACTGGTTGGTACCAGCAGCTCCATTTCTGGGACTGAATGTGGGCTAACAGAGTTTCCATTTTTAGTTAAGTACCAGGGAAAGTCCTGGAAGTGTCCAAGCCTTGGGGTTTTGTTCTTGGCTTCATGGAGTCCTCTGAGAACTGTGTTATCTGCCAGGGAGGCTCAGTCATCCTGGTGAGTCATCGGCCTTGAGGCAGGGCCAGATCCACGCAACATCTGCCTCTGTGTTATCCTCAGAGCATCTCGGGCTGCCATTAGAGTGGGACAGCCTCCAGGAAGCTGGCAAGGAGAACCCAGGATGTCTGGGGGTGAAGTGGAGTTTCTGGAGGAAAGTCCCTCTGCCACTCTGGCTTCCTACACTCCTAAAAACACCCTCTGGGACCTGGGCGGGTGATTTTTCAAATTTATTTTAAAGATCTGGAACCCATGTTCCAAATGAAATTGTCTGCAGTGCCTGACACATAAAATAGAAGGGGCCAGTGTTTGGCCAGAGCTCTGTTTCTGACTGTTTCATCACAAACTGATTTGGCTGCTCCTTCGATTTGCCAGCTGGCTGTGTGGGGATTTGGTACAGGAGGGGTGGCCTCCACAGCCTTTCTTAGTGGATCTCTAAAACACTTGTCCCTGTTACAGAAGTGCTCGCTCAGCTCTCTGAGAATCCCTCTCTGTCATCCATTCTTCCCAGGGGGACTCAGCCTGCTTACGCTCCTCATTCAGAGACAGGCAGGAAGTTCAGGACCTGGCAGGAGAGGCCAGGTGTGTGGGAGAAATGCAGTGGGGCTGCCCCCACTATAGGTATAAAAACAGGAAGGAGCAGATTTCCCTTCTGGTCCCCCTCAAGGTGAGGAAGGAAAGAAGGAACTTCTGGGGGCGGCATGGGTACCGAGGGCTGCTGCCGACATTGTTTGATTTCACATAAATTCTCTCTGAAATCTTATCAAGGCCTTATTATATATCTCCATTTTGCAGCCGAGGAACTGAGTCTTGGGGAGGCAAGCTCATACAGCAAATGCCAGCACAGTTCGCATTTGAAATCAGGTCTTTCCATTGCCAGGCTTTGCCATGTCCATGTTACTTCTTTGTCTGTTGGCCTTTCTTTTTCTTTCTTTCTTTCTTTCTTTCTTTCTTTCTTTCTTTCTTTCTTTCTTTCTTTCTTCTTTCTTTCTCTCTTTCTTCTCCTCTTTCTCTCTTTCTCTTTCTTTCTTTCTTTTCTTTCTTTCTTTCTAGATTTATTTATTTATTTGAGAGAGAGAGAGAGACAGTGGAGAGAGGGGCAGAGAGAGAATCTTTAAGCAGATTCCCTGCAGATCATGGAGTCGGATCCAGGGGTTGATCCCACAACCCTGAGATCATAACCTGAGCCAAAACCAAGAGTTGGTCGCCTAACCGGCTGAGCCACCCAGGCTCTCCTGTCTGTTGGTTTCAAAGGACAACACATTCTGGGCATCTCCACCTTTTCTGTGAGGCTTGATTCTTTTTTGCCCATTCCTTTTGCATGTGGTATGGTAAAAAGACTAACACAATAGAATCTGTTATCCTCAATCCTCTCTATTGGCATTTGTTTTAACAAGTTCCATAAATGTCTTTTTATTTTACATTTTACAGAGGAGCTCATGGTCTAGGGAGGAGTGGAGACTCACCAAAGACTAGCGGTAAAATGAGGGCTGGCACCCTGGTCTCTGCTGCTCCTTCTAGCACCTATGCTATGTTGACTGCTAGGACCATATCTTCTTGGAAAAATCATTCCAATGTGAAAGAAGAGAGGCCCTGTGCAGCCCAAAAGGATTATTTGCAGTCTCTGAAAGAAGAGAGTTC